TTTACTCGATCAAGTAATTTACCAGGTACCTATATTGGGATTGATGGTTGTAATAATTAAATTTTCGATGTGTTCATGGAAATTCCTGCATTCTGATTAGCTGAATTGGTCACGTGTTATTGCATTCATTTCCCAATGAATGTAAAAAATTAAGCCACGCCCACCGCGGCGCACTACTTTTATTACTGCGGAATGTCGGGGAATCCCAATATTACAGTCGAGGGAATTCCCTTTCTGCAGACGTGTATCGTCATGCACAGGACATTTAGCGACTTTCATGCATATTCATTTTCCAAACAACCGTTTGAAACCGAAAACGAATGAAACAGCAAACGTGCAGGCTCTCTCGACTGTTTTTTCCCCGCTCGTCTCGGTTCAACTTTCATGTCTTCGGGTTTCATTTCTAACTAGCATTTCTCTAACTGTGTTTTACCGTAATCAGGGAAGTAATGTTTGAATCACGCAGTAAATGACCATGTTATTTGAAACAGCCGCCTTCTCTCGGTCGACATATTTCTTCCGGTTCGTTACAGTCTGACTGTTGCAGTTCTTTTTTGCCTCTTGCCTTAATTGACAGGTCTAATGAACATTGTTTTAATCCCACTCTCCGTTGATTGGCTACTGACTGTGTAGGCGTGTCAAGTTATGTGCATAAATTAAACGATCACCTGATACATGTCACGCCACTGTATATATTCCTACACCTGGAATGTTTATCAACGTCGTCATTTTTGTCTGTTTTGATATATGCAACTGTTTTGGGTTAAACTATTGTAGATAAAACATGTTTAACGTTGTCGAATTTAATTATAAGCATTGACTGTATATTTTTTTCGGTTCATTGAGGTATGAATCGAAAAACCGATGTGCAAACTTTTGTAAGAATCCGCTACGCGGATTCATACAGTTTGCACATCGGTTTTTCGATTCATACCTCAATGAACCGAAAAAAATACACAGTCAATCCTTAAATGAAACATTTTGTCTGTGACCAGTGGAGCCAAACTAACATACATGTATTCCTTTTTCAGAACGCACAAAAGTTTCAAGAGTAAACGCTAGAAAGCATGAGTGATCGTGAGTGAGTATGATGTTACTCCGCTTTTAGCACCATAGTCCACCCATATCGCAGCGGGGGGCACCAGAAATGGGCTTCACACATTGTACCCATGTGGGGAATCGAACACGGGCTGTCGGCAGAATAGCTAGTCTCAATTACCCGACGAAACAGAAAGCATTAGGCGTGAAAAGCTAAATAGCGGTGACAATTATGTAAATGGGTCACTGAAAATCTGTGATAACACCAGGTGTTCGCGTAAAGGTCTGGGGAAAACATTGTCTTTCGGAAAAAATAAAGCTGCCAAACTCTATCGAACACATTTTTATTTGGCATAACCCCAGAAGTACTTCTCTCTTTATTGACTTCTTTTTTAATTTGGCCAAAATGGTAGCAATGAATAAATAATATGCTCAATGAATAATGCTTTCATTCGTTCTTTCGTCATACACTGTGGTGTGGGAAGACTAGTGATTTTATAGGCGCTTTCCGCGCTACATGAATTACTATGAAGTTGCAGCTGAAGTATTACTAAAAGCAAACCTTGATGCAAAGAATATTTTAATCTTTAGTCTTGTGCAGTGTCAAATTAATAAGAATATTCAAATGTTGATGTAAGATAGTTGGACGCCCACTCCTTACTTACGTTAAGTCTTATTACGTGAATTATGAAGCAAAATACAATGTATATTATAAATAGCATCCGCCCTACATGATGAATGTCATGTCTTACCTTCGGGCTGCCGCCTCCTGGCACCATTACCAAGAACTAACAAAGCCTCCACATATGTGATCCGCCATATCTTTCGACTTAAGATAATGGAATTTGTATTTAACAAAAAGGTGGTGTATATTAATTGATATTTACTCAGTAAACGACAGTTGGGATAAACAGGATGTGATTCATGTTAGAAATGTATTTTGTGTATGTTGTTTTGCCGTAGATGTGAAGATGAAAAGGGAAAATGCAATAATGTATCTTTCATTCTTCATTGTGATAAAGACATAAACAATAATAACATTGCTTTTGACACTTCACAGATCAGAGACACTTAGACCAGGCCCGAGTGAGTAATTGGTTTTACCTTTCCTCACTGAAGAAAATGTGTAGATCATAAACACGTTCCTTATCCCATTATTTTGACGTGTTTAGGTCTAAACATGTTTAGATACCTTACATGTGAATTCGAGTCGTATTCAATCATCAAAGGGCTATCATTTGAACTAGCAATGGCTTTAGCACTCTTGTATATAAAGTCAGAAATACACATTACTCCATGATCAATCCTCCACTTGTCACTGTGGAAGAGTATGGTGATACACCGACTCTTCACACAGGAACTCGTTATTGGTCAGTAAATAAAATATATACCCCCTGTTACATAGGTGTACCGCCAGTGTTCCACAGTGACATGTATACAAGTGGAGGATTGATCATAGTGTAATGCGTATTTCTGACTCTATGTACAAGAGTGCTAAAGCCATTAGTTCAAATGATATCGCTTTGATGTCCCTTCACATAGGGGGTACATATTTATTTACTGAGCAATAACGAGTTCCCGCGAAGCTTCAGTGAATCTTTACAACCCAAGCAGATTGTTGAAAGCGGCGTAGGACCCTAATTCACTTTAACCATGTATGTCACACCTTAAAAAATGTAAAAAGGTTATACAATAGGGCCAAATAAAATGTTTAATTAAATTCTTTCGCACTTACCTTATCGTTATTTTCAACGTTCTTTTAACTCACAGCAGGGCAAGAAATCACGTCGAAAACTCTTTTCTCATGGAAGGCATTCCATAATGCCACAAAGTTTCCCAAAGAATATTAATTGTAGCGCGTAAATATAATAAAACATGAATGATAAGTGTCTTTGGGAAGAATTTGACATGCACAGGTGCCGTTGTTGGATGTACGTCACGTCTGCTTCCTCTCATGGTGTCTGGGATTAACGCGCAACAAAAACTCGTGCAACGGAAGTGGGCACTGATTTGTTTAATTCGTAACCACTACATCACGTGACAATTCTGGCGAACACCTGCGTGAAATATACAAGGCTTCAAACCTGATTTGACATGTGTTTGTATAAACAGACGGAAACGACGATAGGGCGTGGGTTCAATTCCCACAAGCGGACAATGTGTGACACACATTCTTTGTGTCCATCTCCATTCACTTAAAAAGAAACTATGATCCACGACCATCTCCGTGGACAATATTCGTAGATGGCACATATTAGGGGCACTGAGTGAAGAGAGAATAGCACACATATAGTCTACAGTACAACGCAAGGGTCGGTGACCTTGACACGACAGGTAGAATGCATGGGTTCAATGTGTCCAATTCCGAAAATCCGATTGTAATTCTGTGAGCAATTTTACAGATGACCTGTTGGTATCTTACCGAATATAACACGTCAACGCCATAGTCTGTTTGTTTGTTGTTTAACGCCGCACTCGGCAATATTCCAGCTATATGACGGCGGTCTGTAAATAATCGAGTCTGAACCGGACTATCCAGTGGTTGACAGCATGAGCATCGATCCACGCAATTGGGATCGATGACATGCATCAACCAAGTCAGCGAACCTGACCACCCGACACCGTTAGTCGCCCTTTACGACAAGCATAGTCGCCTTTTACGGCAAGTATGGATTGCTAAAGACCTATTCTACCCAGGAATCTTCACGGGTTGTCAACGCCATAGAGTAACCAGTGTCGATTATCCACAAAACAGATTCCAGTGGGCGTAAAAAATGGCAAAATAGCGGTGGAAAATGTATCAACGGTTAACTGAAAATCAGTAATGACACCGGGTGTTCGCGAAGAAAACATCTCAGCTTCATGAACTGTGTGTGTGTGCGTGCGTGCGTGCGTGCGTGCGTGCGTGTGTGACCTTGAAATGCCATGGTGGGACAAAAAAAACGCCCCAGTTATAAAATGCAATAACGATACATGCAAAATGGCTCAATCAGTAACGGGCAACCCATACATCGAAAACAGTTTCGATTAAGGCGATGTTTACCATCAGATCGGAATTCTCTCATAAGGTCAGCTGACTTAAAGGGGGACCGTTAAAATGAGGCTGCTACGGGGGTATATTTAGAAAATGGGGTCGTCTTAATGTAAGCAAGTTTCACCACTAATTGGATGTTCGATAAAATGTTAATCATGTCGTAATTTATACCATGATTTGTTACTACATGATTGAATATTAACGATCATGCTATGGTGGACTTCCGTTCATAATTAATGATAGCCCAATCAGAGATAATCCAAGAATTGAGAGGACCAGAAGCTTGTATGGGTAGTCTCATACCATTCCCCTTTTACCATTTCCTACTTGGAGTGTAAAAGTGTAATTCGAGTGCATTTACAATCAGGGTAAGAAGCCTTTTGTTGCTTGAAGAGTTATCATAACATACCTCATGTCAGTGTGTCACGGCGCCGGTCGCAAGGGAAAGCGCACACGCTTCAGCGTTCGAAGCGGACGTAAAATATCGAAATAGGTACATTCTTGATATTTGTGTGTTTTAGATTTATTCATAGAACACTTTTAGTAACACACAAGACATTTTTGTTAAAGCACAAAAAATAAGTTATTTATGATTTATATGTGTTTAAAGTACTTATAAATAAAATTGTTTTCAGTACTTGAATATATTTGTCCTGCAAAGCTTTTTTATTTTATCGCCTTTTTCTCTGTGATATTTGTTACATTAATATAAATCATTTCGTTAACCAGGGATAACAAGAACAAGAGAGAACGTGGTCAATGAGAGTAGATACATCGCAGCACCTTTCTTTTCAAAGATTTGGAATTACAACACCAGTCATTTCAGGTGCGCAAACGAAAACAGAGTTGTCTACCTTTCGAGAAAGTAGAGGTCGCTTCCCCAAGTTACACCAAAACATTACTTCAGGAAACCGGTGAGCGGGTGTGCATATTAACAATCTTAGCCTCTTGTCACTCAAACGTCAATTATGTACAGTGTAGATTAGTATTACAACTAATAATAAAAGAGTATTCCACTCACATGAAATGAATTAGCATATTAGATCAGGCCACTTGTGATTGTGATCTGAGATTCCGACGGCATTCGATCAGTGAGTCAGTGGTCAACTTAGTCGGTCTGCTGAGATTCACAGGTTGGTGGTATTCTGTTACTAGTAGCTGTGTGACAGTTGAAATGACAATGCATCTGGCCAATCTGATATGGAAATACTTTGCAATGATGAAATATGCAACTGGTTACAATTTGACAATGGATACCATGATTAGCCTACATTAAGTGTCTACATAAGTAGTGACCCAAAGACGTATATACAATCTAAATACGTCTTAGAGTGACCTGGTGTTTTAGAAACAGCCTCTTCGATCATGTGAAGAGGGTATCCGACCTGGGATCAGAGGAATTGCAATGATGTGGCTGCTACATTGGCACTGCATGTAGGGCTGATCAAGTACATGTTAGATGTGAGCCACTAAAGTCTTGGCGCCCAACTTTTATTGACTGGGGAGTATGTAGCATGACGTTGAATCATCCCACAGATGATATTTTCAGTTTGCCTTACCTTGACAGCTTGCTGATGGGGTTAACCTCTTTCGTTGTGTGAACAAGGCCTCCAACCTTGTATCAGAAATTGGGATCAATGACATGCATAAACCAAGTGTGAAGTTCAAGAGAAAACCGCATACTCCACCGTGTTGTCACTGGCTTTGGGGTACCACCTTCAGCAGCTGCCTGTGTTGCCATTCCCTGTCGGAATTGTGCATCCGAGACGCTCAAGGCAACTGGAATGGCCATGAGAGGTTCTCAAAGTGCAAAACCACTGAGTCCAAAGACCGTACCTCTTAATTACCTAACCCGTTGTTTATGTACCCTTGCACAGACCCGTGAAAATCCGGGGTAGATTAGGTCTTTAGCAACCCATGCTTGCCGTAAGAGGCGACTATGCTTGTCGTGAGACGGGATCGGGTTGTCAGACTCGCTGACTTGGTTGAAGCATGTCATTGTATTTCAATTGCGTGGATCGATGCTCATGATATTAATCACTTGATTGTCTGGTCCAGACTCGATTAGTTACAGACCGCCGTCATATAGCTGGAATATTGCTAAGTGCGGCGTTAAACAACAAACAAACAAACAAAGAAGTCTGTGACTCAAATCCCAACATATATAGGTCCCTGGCTTGTCTTTTAAGATTACTTTCAGGCTAGGCCTAGATGTTAGTTTAAATATGTGGGCTGTTATGAGCTTACATACATTATGAGCTGAGTTTACTGGACAGATAGAACCTGGACTAGACACAGGCTTTGGGCTGGCCAGAGCTCAAGATTACTTTTGGAGCAATTGAGTTTTTACTTGAAGGTTTCTATTTTAATTGGGTTATTACATTTTTCATTGGGTAACCAATATTTTTTCACTCATCTATTCATCATTCTATTGGATTTTTCCGAAATGAGTAAACATTTTGAGATTAAAAAAGAAATGTTTCAGATTTATATAAGGGATCTAACTATAGGCTTCACTTGGAATGTAAATTAGCTTGTAACTGTGTTTCTGAAATAAGCTCCATTGTATACATGCTGAAAAAAGCTATATTGGGTATTTACACATGCTGATTTTATACTTTTGAGTTTTGTATTTAACATGTTTAATGTATGCGTTTCTGTATGCAAGTTAGGGCTGTTACGATTTACTCACGTATTCGGTGAATCGAACCGTATCCACTCATGAATTGAATTTGTTATTCGTGGTCACTAGAATCGAAAATTCATGAATATGCATTCATGTGCATTTAAATACCCTGACCCTTGAAATATCCATAAGAACATATTATATGCATAGATTTCTTGAGTGACAGTATTTTAGTCACTTGTCATTGTCGTATTTGAGCAGACACTAGTACCTGGATAAGTGAAGTATATTAATGTATAATAAATTAATAATTTACAAGCCATGTCAAATAATTTATTTGTTATTGTTTCACTGAATATCATAAATAATACATCAACTGCTGACTTGTTATTGTATTCGTGAATAAATGTCATAAATGTACCCTATGTTCATTATACGAATCGTATTCGCCTTATAGTGTATTCATTGCAGCCCTAATGCAAGTTACTTGAAAGTAATTGGGTTTTGAAGATTTGGGGGGGTGGGGTATTTTTACGCAAATACGCAGTTTATAGGCAGCTCTGACTGGTGGCTTAAGTCACAGACTATGACTGGTAGTTTGCTTACTTGTCAGTGAAGAGATCACTCACTTAATAACAAGACTCCTTTATCAAACTGTGTTTAATAGCATCTTGTGCATTGGGACAGCTGTTGGTCATCAGCTGGAAATCTAAATGGGGGCATCAGTATCACTGTGCAATTGTACACAGCTGCTACTCTGCTCCTAGACGATGCTCTACACCGGGTAGACACGTCTAATTATCAAGGAACATCAGAGTTGTATTGACACAACGTGGAAGCATCTCAAACTTTGCATTATTATTGCCATTATTTACCATGTTTACTTGAATCGTGTTGATTACATTCATATATTCTGTGACATTTTGCAGTTGCCTTTGATCTATCACAGGACTTTCAAACTCATGCATTTGAAATACATTTTGATAAGTAGGGTCACTAACTCTCACATATTTAGAAGTAGTAATCAGAGCTCCAGGTTAGCTGCGTATCTACGTCAAATACGCATCAGAAATGCAGAAATATGCAGTAAAATAAAGCCCATGCGTATCAAATACGCAACGAACATTACAGATACGCTACAAAAATAAAACTTGTGCGTATCATCAAAATATTGTGAAGTAACCCTGCATATTTGATTAGAAAATCAGCAACTTATTTTGAAATTATAAACGGGCACCGTCAACCTTGCCAAACTCCACGATGACAGTAACATCATGATCATTTGCCATCACACTTTCTTGTGGAAGTATCTTGGTATTTTTTAGTCCTATAAAGCTCTCGAACCCATGCGACACCAGTTTGCAGGGACTAGATAAATAGTGTTTTTAAATATTTAACTTAAATACCCACATGTGTAAAAACTAGTGGGTAACAGAAATTTGAATACCCAGATAGAATTACTGATACCCAGTGATATTAAAATGCATGGGTAAAATACCCACAACACCAAAAGCTTATCTGGAGCTCTTAGTAATGCAAGCATCATGGTATATCAAGGTTCAGAGCATCACTGATAGATCATTTTCTTTCTCAAAGCATCATTGCTGCAATCTACTTACAACCTTAAACTTCGTGTTGTAAATGAGAGTAGCCTCAACTTTGAGCAAATAAGAGTATGTTGCTAAATGCCCTTAACTGAGCAAATGAAGGTCTGGTTATGTAACTTTTCAAACATTGCTCATTCCTATGTCCAGTAAGACTGTTTTCACATCATGGGCTGCTGAGAATACCAACAATCTGACTTTGGATTCAGGAAGAAAGCCTCAACAAAATGAAATTTCAATCTAATTTTGCTAGGACAGCCCATTGGACCAAGCCTGGACTCCCTTTAATACTGGTCCTATGGCTAACTACTGGCATAAAGCTTTCAGTCAATCACAACATTTGATTGTGACTGTTGTAACAGCCATTGCGATGCACAGTCTGTGAGAACCGACTTCACTCTATACAGAGTTTACTTACCTGCTATGTAAAACATGATCTAAGTACATGATGGGAGTGGAAAACAAATATGTGAATTTACCATGGTCTTGACTGAATCTTGATAAAAAAGATAAAAAATACATTCTTTGCACAATACTGTAATTAGCCTTTAGTATAAGTAATTATAGCATGATCATTTTAGCAGCACCAGGAAAGGGGTGGGTAAGAAACTCTTTGTGAAAATTGTAAGTTGAAAAATTCCCAAATACAAAGTTATAAAGATATCGGTCACATTCCCTCATAAAACCTTACATTAGATGTAAGCTGTTCAAAAATACCAGACAAAGCTCTGTTTAAGTACTTCACAAACAAGAATATCTCTGTTTAGAGAGACATCTAGGCACTCTGTTTGTCTAAAGTTAATGATATACTGAGGGCAAAAGTAGAATTTCTGGCTTTAAGGTTTTTAATATAAGTGGATGTCCTTATATGGTATCAAGTTTTACACTTGTAAATGTATCTGGTTAGTTTGCATCCCTGTCTTTTCATCTTGACTCTTTTGACAGTTTGATAGCTGAACCTTCAAAATGGCCTCAGGGAGTTTCCGCTGGCAGTCGATGAAGTCCATGCCCACAAAGCGGGTGTTTGCAACGCCAGTGACCTACGCCGACGGCCTGTATGTGGTCGGGGGATGTGACGAGAAGGGGGCACCCCTGGACAATGTGGAGGTGTATGACATGAGTGAGAAGGAAGTCAAGTGGAAGAAGCTGCCACCGATGCCGACGAAGCGAGCAGGTCCTGGTGTAGCTGCACTGAAGAACAAAATCGTAGTTATTGGGGGGGTGTCCGAGGCCCAGAACCCACTTGATGTGGTGGAAGTGTACGACATAGAGAAGAAAGAGTGGAAGAAGGGAGAAAGCATGATTGAACCTCTCTTGGGAATGTCAGTGTTAGTGAAAGGTAGGTGTCGTCTTGTTTACTGCACAGCGTTAGAAATTGACACTAGTCCTATAGTCCTTGCCAAACTGACTTATAGTTAAGGTATCAGAAATCAGTAGTAATAATTTGCCATTTTGCCTATGGGGTTTGCTATATGTTATCATTATAAGGACTACTGGACTAAAACTGTTAGTTTCTAACACTGCTGCAGTGCAGGGCTCAGTTTAAGTTACTTGAGTTAACTTGCACCAGGTGCATGCATGTTGACATGAAAAGCTAGTTGCACCAGACTAACCCAGGTTGCACCCTGATCCCATAAATTTATCAAAGCTGAAACAGAGTCTAAATAAGTAAAATCTCTGAAAACTGTGGCATGTCATGAATTACACATAACACAGGGAGTAGTATAACTTCTATAATGCTGAGAAGTACTGAGGGTGTTCAATATTGATGTTGTGATGACAAGTAAGAGTTTGTCAGACAAAAATATCAAATTACTTTTACATTCACTTTGTGCATGAAGACATTAATATTGCTGAAGGGGTCGTTTGCGGCATAGGTACCACAGAAATGTACCCAAGACAAAGTTAGAATACAGAAATGTACCTGGTACCGGAACCCAAAACGGCGGACGAGTCTATATTCCCCAACCCAAAAGCGCAAACGGTTCATGTTGAAGCTCCGGTTTGCCTGATTACGAGTGTATGCGTGCCACTTCTACACGAGTCTAAAGCTCCCTATCCTTGCGTAACATTACGGCCTTATCATAGGTATTCAACTTCAGAAGATAATCCAAAGGTCACTCCTGACGAACATGTACTGCCATAATGAATTCAACCGTGGTTTGGCATACAGGAAGTGACGAATACCTAAAAAAGGGTTGGGCGCATTGCACCCTGCAGCCCTGCAGCGGAATTCATCCTAGGAAACGTTTACTGCAGTGAGAGCGTAGAGTGTTTACTGAAATAACAGGGATTGTTTACTGCAGTGAGAGTTAGTGAATGTTTACTACAGTGAAAGAGAGTGTTTGCTGCACAGAGAGAGAAGGGTGCTTACCACAGTGAGAGAGAAGGGTGCTTACCACAGTGAGAGAGTAGAGTGTTTACTGCAGTGAGGGAGAAGGGTGTTAACTGCAGTGAGTGGGAGTGTTTACTACAGTGAGAAGGAGTGTTTACTGCAGTGAGAGAGTCTGTGAATGTTTACTGCAATGAGAGATTGAGTGTTTATTGCAGTGAGAGAGTGGAGTGTTTGCTGCAGTGAGAGATTGAGTGTTTACTGTGGTGAGAGAGTCAGTGAGCGTTTACATTGTTTGCAACAATAAAGTAACATTGGCAATACATTGTAGTTTGTAATAGTGAAAGATGAGTCACTTTGTGGTAAGTGAAGAGGGAGGCATGGTGAGATGTTTACTTTGTTTGGGGCAATAGAGCATCATATTTATAGTAACTATGACAATATTTAATCAAATCTTTTATTATATACCCGTTTTCTTTGCCAGATGGGAAGATTCTTGTCCTCGGTGGCATGGGAAAAGATACAAATCCTCATGACTACTTCTTTGAGTTGGACATTGACTCGGAGCCGTTCAAGTGGAGTCGTTTAACAGGGATGCCAACCCCACGCTATGCATCAGCTACCTTCCATATTGGATCAGACCTGTTTGTTTTAGGTAGGTAGTATTCCAGCTGTGTCAAATTAAGCATGGCAAGTCTTGTATGACTGGCGTGCAATATGATTGCAATGAGTATCTTTGGCTAAATAATAGTTTAATGATGAGATGCTGAAGTGAAAGTACATTAATCACTGGCATCATATAAGAAACATCGGAAACAGATATTTTTGTTAGAAAAAAATTTATTGCTAAGTGCGCTCGTGGTGGAATGATATGGCAATACAGTATTGATCCTGATATGAGGCCCTTGATACGATACGTTAATTTACAACCTGTATCATGATACATATGATATATTACATAACCTGTTATATTGGTGTGAAAACAAGTGAATAATAAGAGATTTAAAATGCTGAACGCAACTATTCAAGAAATAGCTTTGACAGATTCTCCGGTATTTCCTAGGTTGGCTATAAAAGACATCACATTCACAGTGCCTTCTAGCTGATATAATAATGATAGGCCATTTATATTGCGCATATTCCCACACCACTCAGGGTCATGCTCAAAGCACTATTATTACATTGGTCATTGGATCAGTGTGCACTCAGCAATTATTCTCAGCTCCATGGGGAGTATACAACCAAAGCTGCCTGTTTAGCGCTAAAAGGTTAACAACTACATTTACAGCTCATCCTACCGGGTACCCATTCACTGTTATGTTTCTGTCCTACAATAATCCCATCTTTGATCTCTGAAATTTGAAAACAAATGATTCAGGGTTGTGAGTCACCTACAATAAGGACCCGTGAAGATCCGGGGTAGAATAGGTCTTCAGCAACGCATGCTTGCCGTAAAAGACGACTATGCTTGTCGTAAAAGGCGACTAACGGGATCAGGTGGTCAGGCTCGCTGACTTGGTTGATGCATGTCATCGATCCCAATTGCGTGGATCGATGCTCATGATATTAATCACTGAATTGTCTGGTCCAGACTCGATTATTTACTGACCTCCGCCATATAGCTCGAATATTGCTGAGTGCGGCGTAAAACAACAAACAAACAAAACCTACAACATGTACAATAAGAAAGAATATCACCTCATGAAAAGCTGACTGTTTGGGGATACAAATCGTAGAATCATAGAATCGGGATATGTATTGTATTGCGAGACCACCGCATCATTAAAGTGAGTGCTTCAGGCACCTGGAACATGTATTAACCGTAACAATCGTGATGGTAAATTGTACCATTGGCTCCTTGAAACAATGGATTTCGAGCTGTGGCGAGTTACTGTGACGTGTCAAACATTTCAGGAGGACGACAGGGCAAGATTCCCACGGATGTATTTGAGGTGTATCACTTCGAGACCAGGAAGTGGGAAAAACTGCCCCCTGTTCCTAGCAAGCGTGTGTTCCCGATGTACGTGACGGACGACACCAACATCTACAGCCTGGGTGGACTGCAACAACCACCCGACCTCGGCTTCTCTGATGTCTGCGAGGTCTTTAGTCTAGAGAAAAGTAAGTGAAAATGTACCACTTTTGCAGTGTTCGCGGTAGGTTTTTGTACAGTGCGTGCAGAAATGAAATAATAAATTTTCAATTCAAATATTTCGCATGTGAAGTTTTTATTTCAATAGAATCAGTACTAGTACAGCTAATAATTATGACCAAGCTTTAACTTACGGTCCAGTTTTTATATAATCATGATAATGAACGTTCTATCATTAATAAAATAAAAATGACTGCTGTTAGCACATGCACATGTGTGGAAGTTTTCTTCCGTTGCTCTGTTTATGATTGTTCGTATTACCGACTATTACTTGTAAGCTGGCCTCTGATTGGATGAAACGAACGACTTCCAGGGAATTCCATCGATTGTAACGAATGACATCCTGTGTCTGAGATTAGTTATTCCGTTGCCCAAAGACAATATATGGAAATATAAAGGACGTGATTCAAAGCGCCATCTGGCCACGTTCTATTTTTAGCAATTGGAATTTCCAAGTTTTGATTTATTTTCGTCTGAACATCGTAAGCAGGCTATCAGCTTTGAATATTTTTTTATTTTATGGTATTAATACAAAATTAAGTATATCACAATCTGTGCATGCAAAACACGCATGCAAATTTTTTTTGCGTGTTTATATGATTTTAATGAGTGAAAAACGCAGAAACCTGCGTTAACGTGAACACTGTTTTGATAGGGTAAAAAGAAGGACATATTTGGTTTGGTGATCAATTGCTATGTTCATGTAAAAATATATTATCGATAATTCATCGTCATTATTTGACCTTTTACGTAGGTGCAACTGTCAGTCTGTTTTATTGTCACCATGGTTTTCAGACTAAGATAAAAAACCTAACACTGTCGTCCTACACCATACAGCAAGGCTCGTGAGCCATAGATGTCCCCTCACATTATCAGATGCCATGAAATGGAATGTGGGTCGGGTGGTAGTTCAGCTAACGAGGACATGAAGATGTTTGTGCATAAATGTACATAGTTCAGTTCCAAACAATATCTTACATAAGCATGATATGGCACAAATGGATTGTATTGTAGAACAGTGGAAGGTTGGCACCCCTATGCCCACAAAGAGAGGTGATATGGCTGCTGGGATTGTGGGAGGAAAGGTTGTATGTGCTGGTGGACTAGGTAAGTACTATATGTTTAGTCTTCTATTCTCAATACTAATTCCCACATGGGTACAATGTGTGAAGCCCATTTCTGGTGTCCCTCGCAGTGATATTGCTGGAATATTGCGTAAAACCCAACTCACTCATTCAGTACTAATTACAATGTATATGTGGAAGATAAGTATTTATTATATACTTCAGTGTAAAAGACAGCGTTTTCCGAAGTTGAAGAAAGTGATAGTTTCATTGCAGTGAACGTAACACTTTGACTGAACTATTGTCGTACAAGAGTTACCTCCCCTTAAATTGTCTCCCTTTGTTGTAAGTGACTAGCCCGTACACCAACTGTTGACATTCTTTTTAGGTTAGGTCCACATTGACAAGGCAAAATAGGTCCAATGGTCCTTTGTGGAGTTGATATAACTTCTTGTCATTTGTAATTCTCTTGAAAATGTTTTCATATAAACTGTAAATTTCTCATTTAACCAATCAATCGAGACTGTTCGTTTCGCAAAGCGCCATTTTTGTTACTTCTTGACCAGCATGTATTCTTTCACTTCCAACAGTGGTCTCCTAGTTTTCACGAATATATTTTGTTAAAGCTGATTTTGTATATAATCATATCAAAATGTATGATAAAGAATTTTTGTGACCCTAAATATTTTTTTATACTTTTGTTTATATTTTTTAAGATTTTGCAAACACGAAACTACTTTTTAAGTCGCAAACACAAGGGGTGGTGAACTGTCCCTGTGTGTTGGGTAGGGAGAATTTACTTTTCAAGGTTTCACATTTGTAATGAAATAATTTAATTTTCTGGTAGATAACTACACAAAAAGTATATAATAAATAGGATAATGTGTAAATAACTCCTTTCCCCCTTCACTCAATGAGAGAAACGTGATATTTCACTCAATACATGAAATATCCTCTATATATGTCTTGCCAGATACCAAAGAACAATGTAGAAAGCACACCTGAAAACCAAGAAATGGATTTTTAATATTTTTAGCTCATTTTTTGCATGTTAAATACACATCTTTTGTATTTTTGACCGATGTGACAATAGTGCTTATCAGTATAGAGAAATTCATTGATTTGTGTTATTAGGGATTGGGAAAATTGATGGTTATTTTTGTTACGCTTTACATACTTATGATCATATATTTAACCAGGTCCGCAATGCTAGATTTCAAGGCTTGTGTTAAAGTTACTTACGCACTCTGTTTACTGGGCGTTTGTCATTTTAACAACAACTCTCTTGTGTCATTATGAGTTTCCATTGGCTTGGAACATGATCATCATGTAACACCTTGTATGTCTACATAATGCCTCAAAAGTTTTGTTTTCAGCAGATAATTGTATAATTCATTGCAATATGACATCAGAGGATCCAGATAAACAAATCAATTCATTACCTTGCTATTGAATCATGTCACCGGTTGCTGTATTCAAAGTTCAAGATAAGATCAATTATTTTTTAAATGAGAAAAGTATTAACACAAGAAATAACATAAGAGATGAATGTAGAACGCGATTCATTTTTGCATTTTTTAAGTTTATTGCATTTAATGGAGAAAATGTGTAGGTCTTTAAAGTTTTGTACCATTTCATAATATTGCTGTAAAAAAAGTGAAATATTGAGACGACAACATGGATTACTTCCCTTGCCTTGTAATCACAAGGCTCAGTGAGGTATTAACATTCATGTACTTGTAATTTGAAGGAATCACTGAAATTTCAAGGCAACAATGCCAATAAAGAATTTTGTCCCTAAAGGATGAGTTACTGCTCTTTTCATGCATCATGTTAAATAATACTCCATACACCCAGCAATCTAAGTGCAGCATTGACATTTGGTGTTTTGTGGGAACTGCTAACATGCTTTAGAAGAGTTTACTATGTATGTTGGGTCCCTTTATTGGATGTTTCAACACTATTATGTAAAATCTTTCAGATCAAGTTCAGATATGATTCTGATTGTGTCCTGTCTGGGTGTATATTAGAGACCTTCCTCTGTAAAACTTAGCATGCAGGAAGTTCAGAGGCAAGGATAAAAGTGACATATAGGCTTGTTCATTCAGCACTTGATTATTTATTAACTCACTCACAGATTAGAACACATACCCTTGCTTTGACAAGCAAGGACAACCGTATTCAACATAATAAGCGCCCATGGTGCTCTCAAAATTAGAAAAAGGGGCTCTTATTAGAATATTATTTTGGTGAAAAAAAACAGAGTTGGAAGATCGTAAATTTCATGGTTTGAAATGTTTATATACGACAGATATATTTTTCCAGAATTTAATTGCCCATAATTAAGGGTGCATATAACACACGAGTGCATATTATACACGAATAAATAAGTCTTGTGTACATTGATCAATCGGAAAGGGGTGCCAATGGGAATTGTTCACCAGCCAATATATTAGCAAATATCGCCGTGGGGGTCGCTTATTTCGTCGAATATGGTATTTTGTTTTCAGGACTTTCTCCAAATTTTACCCCACCTGGCATTGATGTTGCAGGTAACACTGGCAAGCCACTGAATGTAGTAGAGGCCTATGACCCGGCCAGCAACACCTGGACGGAGATCTCCAACCTGCCCACAACTCACTGCTCATGTGCGTGTATCATCTTCAAGAACAGGCTCCATGTGATAGGTGGTCTGTCTCTCAAGGGGCCCAGTTCATGCATGGAAGCTCTCAGCTACTCCTAGGCCATGGTGGGCGCTGTAGGGACACAGCAAGGGTTTCTCAGGTCATCACCGCTTCATTTCGCTCATCAGCCGTCTCTGCAGAACTGTCGACAGTCCCTGGCCATCTATTTTGTGATAAAGTCTTTGACATTTAGAAGTTCACATTTAATTGTAGTGGAGAAAATTGCAGAATTTATCTTTAATAATAATTATTTAACTCATTATGTACATAATTCAGTTTAAAATTAATTGGTCAAGGGGTCCTTATCATATAAATAATGTTTTGGTAGAGATTATGTGGTCACAAAATTAGAATTCCACTGAAGAAAGTGCAAGGACCATCCCTTACCTTTAAACACAATAACTAGTCATTTTTTAGCAATATCTAAAGAATAAACAGTTTCCTGATTTTTGATGAAAATCACTTCACAGACACCAAGCTTGTCTCCGGAAATCTATCTTGTCAATATTGCACGGTTTTTTTGACATTGTAAGTAGTTTCTTGCAGTATTTGCTGGGGACTGTGTGCAATAATCTAGGAGCAAGGTTTCCTGTCAGTTGTGTTGTCCCATCAGCTACTAACACAATCTCATTAAAATCAGACCTTAGTTCTCGCTACCGCTAAACAAAGATCTGAAGACATCCCATTAGGGGTCACACAAGAACGACCTTTCATCCGACCAATGCGAGCGTCGCTTACCAGATCATGAAAGTGACAGTCTGAATGTGATTTCTAATCATACAACCTGTGTATTCCGAACGATAGTTACGGGTTTAACGACTGAATCCATACAATCTAGACCATCTATTAGCCATTCCAGAATGTTCTTTTGTTTAGGTTTCAAATTTGTAATCGAGAATTTGTCAAAATATGTTTCGAAGCGTAGTCGCCAATTTGAAATTAGTGCCGTAAAGTATGAGATTGATTGGTCATTCTATTGGTCGGTCAAAGTTTGTGCAAGGTCGGTCTGACGTGACCCGTAATGGGATGTCCTCAGATCTTTGTTTAGCGGCAGCGAGAACTAAGGTCTGATTTTAATGAGATTGCTACTAACAACGCTGATTAGGGTTTTCAAGACTTGTTTTTATATGATGCATAAAGTCATCAATTAAGACAAGTAAAATATGGACACAGTTCTAAGTTGTTTTAACTCTTCACTTGGAGTAGCGGCACTGCTGCAGCCTACTGCCAGGATGTGTGTGTCAGGTCGATGCATGCTGCATGGTAGAATAGTGCTGGTTATATATACATTGAGCTTTATGTAAGGTGAAACTCTGCTAGGCCAGTAAACCCACACTAGACATCTCCATGCTGTAAATCATGATTTTATTGAAACAACAAATTAATGCAAGTGTCATAGGGCTGGGACGAGAACAAATTTACTACCCGGGTACCCAGACCCCTATTACCTGACCCTACCCAGGTACCAGCTGTTGGTGTCAAGAGATAAGTACAAAATGTCCGATTGGGAATAGTTTGACAGTAGCCCTGGCAGAATGTGTTTAGATACACGTATAAAACGATGTGGTCTTGCATACACTGAAGTTTTAGCTTTGTTCAAACATATATAAGTCAGAAGGAAGGTGTTCATAGTCATGACGAAATGCGAATTAGAGACTTAAAATTGTCGTGTAACCATGTACTTATATAGTGAATTGCTGTCATGAAACAACCATGGGTCCTGTAGTCCTGTGGGTACCCGGTTCCTACTCAGTACCCACCCGACCCGAGTACCCGAATTACCCGTCCCAGCCCTAGAGTGTCGACCCCTGGCCTAAAATGACTCATGAAATTAATGCAAGTAACCCTGAACCATTAAAACTGTTGTGCTTGTAATGATTAGACTATTTGACAAGGTTACCTAGAACAATAATGCTGTCATACACAGTGGGCAACTGTCATAACTGCTTCATCAACTTACGTAAACAAACAGACACCACTTGACGTGGAACTTGGTGAGGAGCACTGTCTAAATCTAGCACTTTGTTTACTAGGAGCTTTGTTAGGTTTTCACAGGGGGCACAGGGGGCCCACTCTTCTAAGGCGCCACAATTTGCTGTGCAGAGTTGCGTCCCTTGGGCACGCAAGAAACCTATGATTGTGGGTTCGAATCCCGGGTTCGCCTCGATTATGTTTCCAGGTTTGTCAGCACCATACACGTGCTCGTGGGTTTCACCGAAGTGGTAAACGTCTGAGACCTGCATCACTTTGGGCTTTCCTCCCACATTAAGCTGACATGCCGTGATATAACTGGACTACTGTTAAAAACGGCGTTAAACCCAACTCACTCACTCAATTATGTATCCACGTGTTATGGGTTTTCGATCTCATTCACTTATGATAGACAGCGTTCTCTGAAAAACAAGCCATCGTCTGAGTATTTACAATGTCTGTGTGATGCTACACCCCGTTTCAGCATGAGTAATCGCGATAAACATGGCCGTCCCAAAACGTATGACGTCCGACAACCTATGGTCCGACCATATGTCATTGTTTCAGCCCATGTGCAGTGAACTGGACATGACAATATACTCCAGATAAAAATGCCTCACTTTATTAATGCAAAAAGGGGTCACTCACATCTTTTGCATTAATTTCATGCTTTGCAGTATATAATTACAATATTGATATAATTAATATTGCGTACTACTGATTCATTAATACAGAAGTGTGTCAGTGTGAGCTATTCCACTAAGAACAGATGTTATCATATATAGTGATATCGATGTGTCAATAAATATTTAATTTCGAAATTGTATCATTGCAAATTTATGAATATAGATATATAGGGCTGGTTATCGATATGGATTACTCAGATCGATTATCGGTAGTCACATATCGATCAATAATCGATAAATATCAAAGAATTCTATTTTGGTAAAATGACATTACAGAAAAATGGCATTTCACTTCTCCGGAGACTCAGTGTTTCAACAATACGCACGTTACATCGCATTTTTAGCGATGAACAATTTGAGTTTAAGATTCATGTCGTCAAAGACAATTATTATTTCTATAAAGTGAGAATACCGTATTTTCTTGAGTATTCCTTTTAATATTGTTTTTATTAATTTCGGCGAAATCGTGTGTGAAGCGATCGGAAGATCGCACAACTCACCGTTATTAACAGCAACCACGGTCAGAATACCGCTATTGACGTCTTGAAACGAACTTTAGTTGACAGAGAATGGATACATATATCATAAATGACATACTTTGACTCGTTAAAAGTCATATTTGTTTTTGTTTGACGATTCTATGTCAACATGAAATTCTCGCGATCACGTGCGCGTGAGCCTTGACGGTGACTGGTCAGACTGAGTCCATGTAAAAAGTAATACCCGGGAATAGCGATCAGCTGCTTCGCTTAGGGTTATTATCTATTTTAAATATGTTTAGTAAAGGCTGTATATAATTAAGAAAATAATGGAATATATTATTCTTGATAAAAAAAATAGTTTCATATACAATTTTTGCCGATCCTTGCATTAAAAATCCTATTAAGTTATTTCATTGGGTGTGTCTTGACCGAATCACCGGTCGATTCCAAGAAAACGTGTGTACAGCTGATTGCTGTTTCCGGCTTAGTTTACGAGAAAATACACAAGGTAAACTTAATCCCGGGATATAAAACAATGCCTAGCAGAACAATAAATACTATTTAAACGGTAAATAAACATGTCTGGTGATTTTTTTTCTCAAATTTCGAATTTGTACTGACGAAGTTTCTCATCACCCGTTCGTGTGCCGGACTTCGCCGAAAGGGTACGGTGTAATTTTTTTCTGCGCATAATATTCAAATTTCTTTTTTTCCAAAATATTGAACCCGCTAGAGGGGGGTGCGCATTATACATGGGTGCGCACTGTACTCAAGAAAATACGGTAATTGAGAAATTAAATGTAATTTCACCTGATATAGTCGTTTGTCATTTATGTACAGTATTCACGAAACTATTCAGATAAAAAATCATCAAATATTCCGCCATTGTGAATGTCAGGTGTGTACAGGTGTGTGCTACGTAGTAGGTTGTACTAGGTTCACAGGTGTGATACGTAATAGATTGGGTGGCAGACTGATATTAAACAAACATCGGGCGATTATAACGGGGAAATTAGGAATTTTTGCTGCCATATCGTAAAAATGTCAAACCCCACGTGGACCTCACGTGGGCTGTGTGTTGAGAATACCGGCAAAAACGAAAACCATGATCATTGAAAAAATCGAAACAGACTGGAATACGTAGTTACCAAATAGACATAAAATTTGAAATTTTAGGAAATAGAATGGGAAGAATTCTTTTTAAGAATTAAAGTATTATGAAACCTATTTTAATCATGATACTTCATACTATTTCGAAAATATACATATTTTCTAAAATCCTGACTCCGCATTTAGATGCCTGTGACTACATTTGTAATTACCCACTATCAACACGTAATGGCGTCGTCGTTCGATTCAAAGCAGAACTTTTTACTTTTTCAAACATTTGATTTTTATTTGCGACTAAACATCAAGCGAAGGGGAGAAAACTGTATGTTAGGGTGAATCTGTCTGTTTATATCTAGCGATAATTACAAGGATAGCAAAACAAATAAGTCAAATGTGTTGCAGTAAAAACTTTTATTTGTCGAAAAAATACATGTCATTATCGATAGCATTATATTCATATCGATAATCGTCACAACCTTCTTCCATCGATGATAATTACGATTATCGATCTAAATCACCAGCCCTATAGATATAACATTTATATTTCATTGTTACAGAAACATTTAAGATTACCATGTTTAACATTGAAATTCAATTTGAATATTTAATTGTTCAGCTTAGTTCATATTTAGCAATCATTTGATTAATTACAGGTCAAAACAGGTGACTTTTATCTATACACATAGACAATAACTAATTTTGTAATTAATTGATATAGTGATACTTGAGTCGATACGCCGATACAAAAGTTTCCAATCAATGACACTCCTCGAGAACAGTACAGTAAAGTAGAGTTTCCCAGTTGATGGGACGCTGTTAGTGCTGATGGCCCTTCCTCTGATGACACTTCAGGGCAGACTCTCCAGGGCAGACTCTCCAAGGAGGGACCGATTTCTGACATCTGTGCACACATCAAGAGAGTGGGGTTGTGGATTAACAGGTTCCTGACTAGCAAAGTTTCACTGTATGTTTACCCAGGCTTCCAGCAGCAGCAATTCCTGAGAAACTGTCACTCCCGGCCCTACGCTGTGTTCATACTTGCTGATATGTGAGCTACTCTCGGCTACTCTGGGTGCTTCAGTGTGTCTGTGATCGTGATAAGCCGTCTGGCTATTTTCACAGCATGTATTAAATGTTGTATGTATTCAGATTGTCATTATTTAAAAGTCCAATTTGTCAGGTGCTTTGTGTATTTTTACCACTTGCAAATGTTTGTTGAATTTGATATATATTTTGGTAGCACATTTTCCATTGTGAAAGTTTGACATTTTAATTTGTTTTCCCCACAATTGCTTCATAAATAAATGGGTTTTTCAGTGAGTTTAAACAAACATGTCTCTATTGACAAACAAGGATAGATGAAATCTCCTAGTTATTCTGTACTTGGAAATATACAATGTTAAACCAAAGGCAGGATATGAATGCAACAGCTTGTCAGGGTTAGTGTGTGCATTATCTCATTGGCAAAATTTTACATGT